AAAGGGCCAAATGGTCAAGTATCACAAAAAAGTAAACTTTTTCGCCTACAACCGTTCTTGGATAAAAGTGGAGTACTTAGAATGGGCGGAAGATTAAAAAATGCAGCATCATTAGAGATATTTCAAAAACATCCACTGATTATACCGGCTAAGAGTACGTTTACTAAATTGTTACTTAGAGATGAGCATGAAAGATTATGTCACAGCGGTCCACAAACTGTTTTAGCGTCCATAAGGCAAAGGTATTGGCCATTAAATGCAAGGAATACAATTAGAGGAATTATATTCAAGTGTTTGCGTTGTTTTCGACAACGACCCATCATGGTGCAGCCCATAATGGGGGACCTGCCAAGCGATAGAGTAGAACCTTCTCGAGCTTTTAAGATAAGTGGAGTAGATTTCTGGGGGCCAGTGATGTTAAAGAGTAGTTTAAGAAAAAATGCGCCTTTAAAAAAGGCTTATGTTAGTGTGTTTGTGTGTTTTTCAACTAAGGCCGTACATATTGAGTTGGTAAATGGATTAAGTACGCAGGACTTTATACAAGCATTACAGAGGTTTGTGGCTAGGAGAGGAAAAATTAGTGTGATATATTCAGATAATGGCACAAACTTTCATGGTACAGATCGTCAGTTAAAAGAGGTGTATGAGTTATTTCATTCAGAAGCGCATAAAAAGGAGTTATTTGAGCATTTTACAAATGAACGTATTGAGTGGAAGTTTATACCTCCGCGCTCTCCACATTTTGGGGGATTATGGGAGTCTGCTGTTAAAAGCATGAAAGGGCTCATAAAAAGAATACTGGGCGAATCGCATTTAACGTTCGACGAAATGTACACCGTGCTCACGCGCGCTGAGGCTTGCCTGAACTCACGTCCTCTCACTCCTTTGTCTTCTTGTCCAACCGACTTAACTGTGCTAACGCCTGGTCATTTTTTAATTGGTGAAGCATTGACTACATTACCAGAGAGAGACGTAAGCGATACTCCGTCAAATCGATTAGACCGTTGGCGTAGAGTAAATAAGTTTTCTCAGCAACTATGGAAACGCTGGAGTAGTGAATATCTTTCACAACTTCAAACTCGCTACAAATGGGCAAAGGAGGAGGGACCTAAACTGTCAGTGGGTTCCATCGTCTTAATAAAAGAAGAAAATCTCAGCCCGCTGGTCTGGTGATTAGGCCGAGTATTAAGTGTTATATGTGGTAAGGATGGCGTGATACGCACAGCAAGGGTAAAAACCGCTTTTGGTGAATACTTACGAGCAGTTCGAAATTTAAGTCCATTGCCAATTGAAATCGATTGATTTATTGAAAATTTATTGTTTGTCAATTTAAATATATTTGTAATCCATTTGTTATTTTAGAATGTTAGTTTNAATATATTTGTAATCCATTTGTTATGTTAGAATGTTAGTTTTTTTTTTTGTTTTTGCAATTTGTTTTATGTTTTATATATATATTTTTTTTGATTTGTTAGATAAATTTTATATTGATTTTGGTTAATCAAAGTGGGCGGCTTGTTTGATATTGGGGAAAAAACGCTAGATATATTTGTTATAGGATAGGTGGAGGGCGGTGCAGCGTAGGGTTTTGTTTGTAAGTTAGTCGAAAACCGGACAGCGAATGATGAGTCCGGCTCACTTACGCGCACCTATAGTTTTTCGTATATAAAATGTAAAAGATATAAAATAAAAAATACAGTCCATATTATAGAANCAAATAAAAAAAATACAGTCCATATTATAGAATAAAAATAAAGTGTTCTTATTCAAAGTTTAAAATATCGTAAGCTACCGATCAGTTTTAATGTATAAAACATGTCATATTTTTTTCTATTTTCAGGCATTAATTATATTCTATATCCATAGTTTTAAAAAAATTTTTTAAGATTTGAAAATAGTCATTTTATAGATAAGTTTTAAAGAAAAATTTTGATAACAATAACTCTTATTTTAATTCAGTAGTTACGTTTATACAGCATTTTGAAATTTGTTAAATATTGATTTTTTATACAATTTTCCTATGATATCAAAATGTTAGTCCATATTATGTACAGAAGTTTTTTTTTCTCGCCTTAATTCCAACTACTTGGGGTCGGCCACCCTTATCCTGAACTTCCACTTGACACGATCTCCCACATCCTCAACGCTCACATCCAGTAGCGTATTTTGAATGATTTTTCGGGTTGTTCAACTTTTAATGAACCTCACAAACGAAAATTGTAGAAATATTTACTGACGCAAAAAAATACTTACTATTTTTCTAATTACTATTTTAGGAATTGACAAGTAATTTGAAATTTGAAATTTTGGTATTGTTGTATCTTAAAAGAAACAACCTTAGTATCTTAACTTAAAGTAGTAAAAGTTTAATAATAACTTAAATGTAATTATTATAGATATAATTAAACAATGCAAAACATATAAAATAAATATACACTTAAAACACAATAAAATAATACACAAAATGAAAACTTAATGTCATAAACGTACCGCGTGAAAAGAGATTACATTCGGTGCTCCCGAGGACCTTTCTCCTCTACAATTCATTCCATTTCGTCTTATATACTAAAATATTTTGTTTTTCTTCTTTTTACAAAATTAATAATACAATCATTTTCAAAAATGTTTATAAATATTTAATTTCTGGTCTAGTAACAATAGATCAGGAAATTACAATTAAATCAAACGTTACAAAAATGTTTCACTTCCAGCTTTACAAATGATAAACTATATTACAGTATACAGGGTGATTTTTTTATCATAACCCACTCAATTACTTGCAGAATAATAATAATTTAAACATTTTTTTTTTTGGTTTTCTTTAGTTACACATTATTCTTGAATTATTAACTATTTAAAACTTTTTATGTTCATCCCTTATGTCTTGTAAGGGTGTCAACTTTGGTTTTTTAAATGGGAATGACTAACATTTTTTTTTTTAAATACTTTTTAAATTGTTGTAAAGATATAAATATATTAAGATCTATTTTAATATTTCAAGATCTTTATTTCTTATATTTTTATACAGTAAAGATTATAGTAAAATTAGCAATTTTTGAACTTTAAAACTAAATTTGTAATATAAGATTTAGGCGTCTCTTCTTTTCACTTAGATTATCAATTAGTTTACTGGCATCAATGCCTACTTCTGTGTTAATGGCTAGCATAGCCAAATTTTTTTAACCATCCTTGTATTAAAAAAAAAAAGACTTAAAAATTCATAATTATAAAATAATTAAAATAATAAATTAACCACAATTGATTTACTTGTAACATTGTGTTTCGCAAGTTCGTCTTTATTCTTTTTAAGTTAGAAAAGGAACTCTCATTAGATGCAGTTAGATACTGGTCAAGTTGCAAAAATCTGTAGGAGTTTAAATACATTTGGATAAACTTGGCTATCACATAAAACTATTGTTTCCATGGCATTTCTTGATATATTTGATGATTTAATATTTTCTAAACATCTTTTCCATAATTTGAACTCTGCCAGTAACACAGATTTTCGCATTCATTTAAGTCAATCATGTACATTTGTGCCAAGAGTAAGAAGTGAGCTTCATTTTCGTCTGTTGAAATTAATGATTTCAAGTCCAATAACCACAATTTTTGATTCACAAACTTGAATTTAGTTGATCTATAAATGTATCTAAATAAGGAATAAAATAAGTAACTTGAAAATATGACTCTGGTGAATTTGTCTCAATATTTACTCTTTTCGTTTGTCTTCCTATAATACGTGGTATAGAAATATGATTTATTATATTAATATCTATATTAAATTAATATCGTATTTATATCTAGTTTTTTTGAAAACGTCAATGAAT